ACCCCCCCCCCCCCCCCAAACAAAAAAAAAAATAAAATGCTTGCAGTTTAAAAGTGAGAGTCAATTTACCTTAGGTATCCCGTTCCTTAAGCATGGGAAATATATATGTCGGACCATCCATTTGTGAACAGGCTGTCGCCGATAAAATCTCAAAGAATTATGTTGGATGAAAGATAAATTTGTTGCAAAAAAAAAAATAAAAATGGAGAACATAAATAGTAACCAAAATGTAATTCTAATTAACTACTGCTTTAAGTAGTGATGACCACTTACTCTATCATCAAGGTCAGAATCTACTACCACCTCCCTTTCCAACCAACACCCACATCCCCGCAACAAAATAAAGAAAACAATAACAAAGAGATCTACTCACCATATTCCACAGTCTCCAATACTGATGATGCAGCCGTAATGAACAATCAATTAAAGAACAGAATTAATAATCACCCGCAAAATGGTTGCAATGTAAAAAGGAGTCGAAAAAATTTTCCAGGCCGTATAAAGCTTACCTCCTCAACTGTTTTTGCATTCCACCAATCTTTATAGAACTCACGATCACCAAAGCGGAGAAGTTCGGCAAGTATATTTAGCCTAAATCAGAGCGCTGCATATCAGTATGGCTAGAGTAATGCAATCCTTGAACTTAGTTCTCTTTTTCATGGAAAGGCGCCACAAACTAAAACCATGTTGGTCATTTTGCACCTAAGAACTACGAATTAGCAACATCAGCTATTTTCCTACTTTTGTTTATCCAGGCCATCATCAAACAATATGCAAAGAGGCCTAAACAACTCCCACATGCATATCTCTAGAGAACCTCTCTGTTTAGACCATGTTGTTTGGTCGTGCAGTTTTTCAAAATACTAGATTTTTAGAAGCTATAAAAGGTTACCACCCTTACTCGAGCCTTATTGAAATTAACTAGGCAGAGCAGCTCGATTTAAAGTTTCCATTGTACTCAAATATTTAATATCATGGTAAATGCATTATGTTTAATTAGTAGCAGCAATTGCATTGCAAAGATCTGATTAAAAAGCAACATGTGTCCACAAAGTGGTTGTACAAACAAGTAATTGAAAGAAAAACCAAGTTGCCATCACTGCTCATTCTCTGGCAGTAACAGTGCATTCAGAAAAATTGTTGGAATAAAATTTTTCGATTAGAAAGGAGGTATCTCTCTCTAGGCAATCATTTTTTCCCTTAAATTTTTTTTT